TAGGCTCTCCACTGACCAGAGATCCCTGGAGACAAAGCACGTCTACCTAGAATCTCTCTTGTAACCCCAGGATGTCTGTCACTGTATGCACAGCCTAGTCACAGTTCCCTGAATTAACACAAAAAACTGAATTGATTTCCATAATGAAAAAGCCTCCACATGGCTCCAGAGTTATACAAGATGAAAGAGCACAGCAGCTTGGGAAAGATTAAAAAAAAAAAATCAAATCACTTTTGCCTCATGGAATTGCAGTTTTGAGCCCCCATACTATCAGCTCAAAGTGAAAGTATGAGGGAGCACAAAGCACCGGGGGCAGCACATCACTGCCTGCAAGAAGTCGGAACGCAGTCTCAAGGGAGGGTTAAACATTGCCAGGCACTGCACATCTGCATCATCAGCACTGCACAGGGACCAGCAGCACAGGTCTATTTATAAACCAGACATGTACAGCTGTAGTCTACAATGAGAGACTAGGATTGCAGGCTGTCAGCCTTCAACAACATGTTGTCTAATTTAATTAAAGAGATGGCCATGTTCACATGCACACACATCCTTTTCCCAAGAGAGTTACAAACCAAGCTCAGTTTTTTTTGAGAGCAAAGCCATTTCAACAAAGGTTTCTATGCAGAGGGCAACCATCTCAAGCAAATGTGTCCTCACGTAACCTTCCCATTCCCTCACTCCACAGCTCAAATGTGATTGATAGGCTACCGCTGCTACAGCTCACCACCACTCAGAGCCCTCAGGCCGTTGCTGGGTTTGTTTATAGCCCCAGCTATACGGTGCAGGAAGGCAAAGTCATTGTAGCAGTATTAATCTGCGTTGAGAGAATGAATTAATTTAGTCTGCAAAAATAGGTATTTGGGAGTCAGACATCTTGAAATAGACTTCTGCACCATGACAGATTGCCAGTGCCGTCAGTTTCCATTTAGGGAGGGAAAACAGGGTTTCAGGCACAAAGCTCTTTCTTCCACTAAGAAGCTAAAGGGAGCATCTCTATTGTGAGACCTGAACCAAAAGCCTGCCTCATCTCCTTCTGATTCGCGTCTCACTCAAGATGCCTCTTTCTGCAGTCTAAGGCCTGAAATCAAGCTCACTGGCAACATATCTATTACCTTCAGTTCGAAACCCCCTCTGACCACAAGCAATTAAAAAAAAAAAAAAAAAATTTGAGCCTCTCATCACCTCAACTCAACAGACTTATTCCCTTGAGTCTGCGCTGGCTCAAAGGGAAGAACAGCTGGAGAGCTACTTGGTTGGTGCTGCTGGCCACTGTAGCTCACACAGAGGTACAGCCACAGCACTGGAGACAGACCACGGAAACACTGATAAAGCCCAAGTATCAGTACAGCCCCTCTCCCCTTCCACCCACCTTTTCCTTGTTTTGTATTGCATAATAATTAGCTCAACTTTACTCATTTCACAATGCTGGAAAACTTTCACATAGTTTATATTTTGATGACAGTTTTTACTAGTGTTGCTGGTTGCAGTGTCTTGTAAGTTTTATGAATCTCTCTGAAACATCTGCAACAGAAACCCTGCAGAGTGGCAACCACAACCACTACGGAGGATAGGAAGCCCCTGTGGAGGACAGCCATACTGAACTCCTCCCCTCCAGCACTGCTGGTCCACATAGGGTGGGAGAAGCCCAGGAGAACTCCCACTGCTTTCATATGGAGAGTCTGGTCACTAGTGAGCTGGAGCTCTCTTGTCTAGAAGCCTCTGAGCTGGGAATCCAGCAACAACAAAGGACTGGAGGAGAGAACTGGCTGCACTCAAGCTGCCACAGTAAAGCAGTGGTGAGGTACAACAAGGACAAGCAGCTTGGACAGGACTGACAAAGCCTTCGCAACTTGCTGGCACAGTATGGGGCAAGGCAAAAGCAGCTGCAGACAAAGCCTGGAGATCAGGTCACAGCCCAGGCTCTGCTCTCCCAAGCCCCTCAGGACCAGAAGCCTTTGGCTGCACAGGGACAGCCCACACATGGGGGCTCCAACCACACAGCGCAGGCCAGCAGCAGTCACACGTAGCCTGAAGCTAGCGCCACACCGAGGGAGCACTGAGCATATATGCTGCATATATGGCTTTCTGCCCCCTCCTCCCCCAATTGGAAATGACTTTTAAAAGCCCCTGCAAGAACACACAAAGGTCACAGTCGGGCCAACATCCACCGGGTTCAGTTCTCCCGTATTTGTTTTGACAGCCACTGCCAGGCAAAACACTGCAAATACACCCTCAACATAACTGAGGCAAACAGGCCTTTGCTTACAACATAATGCAGCGCCTAATCAAAAAGCAACAGCTCAGCAAACTGTGTATTTTTATCCTATGTTAACTGCACATTTTCTGTCCTGACAGGCATGAAATAGAAGGAGCATTACAAGTATAAGGCATGATGCAGAACTGATGGCTTTCCTAGTCACAGCTTATTAACATGTGCTCAGGCATGAGGCAGTTCTGGACCAGCCACACATCATGGAGGGTGCCCTAGTATGACAGACTTTACAGATCCTAAGTCCCAGTACCCTGACCAAGTGACTACGATACCAGCCAACCCACCCAGCTGGATACGCACAGGCTCTCAGTGAACCCCTGCAGACATCTACAGGGCCACCATGCCACCTCTCACCTGTTCTAGATGAAATGATGCTTCTGGAGTCCAAATCCAGCTTTTTCACCAGAGTATCAGGATCAATCTGCAGCCCAGAAAAGACATCAGACGACGAGAAGTCCCAGTCCTTATCCAAAAGGAAAATTAAAGAGGAGTCAGTATCAATACCACCTTCCAGTGCAAGCAATACTCATGAAAAAAAAAATAAAATTAAGCCCAGTGCCATCCAGACAGGAGCAGGGGGGAACACACACTAATGGCAGAGTGCAGGTACCTCTCCTGAGCAGGCAGGGATAACTAAGTCACCTCACTGGCCTGGCTTTCCAAGGTTGTTTTATTCAGGTGAACTGAAAGTCACAGAAAGACAGAACCTCACGTTTTCAGTGTTCTGAAACCCAGACGAGTTATATTTCTAGCACATTTCTACTACAACCCAATCTCATTTCACTCCATTGAATTCATACATTACTTCTAGGAAAATTATGACTTGCATCCTTAGGAAGAGCCAGATTCATAACAGGTATGTTAAGTACCCAATAGTACAGATAGGCAACAACTGAGCAGATTGGAAGTCTGAACCCTAAATCAGGGGACATTAAGCAGATTCAGTGAACAACTAACAGCAACTTACTCACTGGATCTTCAGCATTTAGTTCCTTTAGGCATGCAATACTTTTAAGTCCTCATGCAGCTTTCTATTAGCTTATCAGGTCTGGTTAGAAGAATTTACTATTTTAGACTAAACCAGCAATATCTCTCAGCATGGACGCTACAGTGTTATAAAAATGGCTTTATACAGTGCAGCCTCTGTCTCTCTTCTTACTAGAGGAGCAGGAGGCACATAAAAGTCTTCTATTACTGTTCCTGTGTCCTTACTGCAACAGGAGGGGTGGGGGAGAGGCATCCATCCAGCTTTAACCTGAACTGTATATCGGTAGTACAACTGGTGTAATCAGACACGGTCTAAATTTCCTAAAGGATTATTTATAAACTGACAGTTCATCTCCACCTGCCATGACCTGAAAACAAAAGAAAACACTGCAAAACAAGTCAAGCAGTCACTAACTTCTCTATTCCTGATACTCAATGATCAGTGGTGTGACTTGGATGCAGCACCTGGGAAGAGCAGCACAGGCACCCAGGGTACGCTCTCCCTCAACTAGCAGGAGTGGCAGCATACTTTTATCACTACCGCTTCCCTAAGCGGACTCTGCTTCTCTCCGCACACGCTCGCATTAGAGGCATACACGTTATATACTGGCCAATGACTGTGGGTGGCCAGAGCACTCATCAAGGCAGCGCTCTGGGACTCTCACAGTGCGCGTGCTGGGCGTTACTGGAAAGCAATGGAATTCCAAAGCTCCAGGTTGAACTGTACAATGCCAGGATCCCTTGTTTCACCTCCCTGTCTGTTTTGAAGAGCCAATGCCCTTTTCAGCACACTCGTACTAGCAATAATCAGTGTAAGACGTATGCAGACCCCCAGAGAGCACAGACAGAGCCCTGAGACAGCTTCAAGGCTGCAACAGCAGCATCAAGGCCATAGACTTTTCTAAGAACAAAAAGGAGGCCAACCCTTAGCAAACAACTTCACTCAATCTTCTGCTGCTTTGAGGCTCTGTTAACTAGCACTAGCCCTGTATCACAGCACTTTAAGGTGTCAAGGACAGCTGCCTTAGACCTCGCTGCTAAACTGAGCCTGGGGCTGCAGAACATCCTCAAGCGTTTGCCTCTTGTGCAAAGAGGCGAATGAACTCTGCTGGCCTTAACAAGAGGTCAATGACTAGCCACCTTTGTGATGACAAACTTTTTAAGGTAGCACAACAAAGTCACTGTGTAAAATTACACAGCATCTCAAAAGCTTAAAAGATCTCCAGAGATTGAGCAGGACCACAGATGGAAGCCCAAATGCCAATTCTTCACATTCACAGCCCAAACAAGGAAAATCAAATTCACTAGCATAGAAGAATCACTTATCTACAAACAGCCAGGAAAGATCTATCAGGAGTCAGGTCTATTATCAGCAGTGGCAAACTAGCTGTTTACCCATGGGCCCTCCACAGTCTTTGTCTAGAGACTTTTAACAGCTACATGTTCTGCTCAACCCCCACGCATACAAGGACAGAGCTCGGCAGATGGGTGAGATACGAGGGGTTCACCCCAGTTCTCCACAGAAATGTTCTCGGTCTTATTCCATAAAGATAGGAACAATGAAAAACTGTATCACATGATGCCATTCCTTCACTGAAAACACAGTCAGCCCACAAGGCAAGGTGATTAAACATCCTTGATGCTTAAGACAGTAAAGTGGTGAAGCAACCTAAGAAGAACAGTCACAACATTCAATAAACATTTTAAAGGCAGATAAGAACCTGCTTAAGAGGCCTGAAAAAAAGAGGTCACTCTGATTTAGCCAAACCTAGCCTTTAGGCTAACAGAATTTTGCTTGCAAAAGTTGAAAAAATGGGATGCAGCAATCCCAACAAGAAATTGAGAGGGAGAAGACACAGGTGAAAAGATATCAGAACCATCTGGTCTCTTCATACAGCTATGCTGCACACCTGCTTCATTAAGCTCTCAGAACAGGAGCACAGAAAAAACTGAAGCAGATTAACTGAAAATAGGTACTGAAAAAAGTATCAGGGAAGAAACAAAATAGCATACAAAGGGGAGAGGACCCTAACACAACTCCTTCTCCTCATGGACGCAGCCATCTCCTCTTGGTTCATTAACCAGCAGCAGGGCCCCATCCCTTGCTGTCTCCGGGGCCCTTGTCAACAACAGCGGCCTCCCTCGTGAGACGGGCCGCAGCTCGGGGCGCGGAATC